CAGTAAATGGACAATAAAGCAGCACGAGTCAGATTTTACGTGAAAAATATTACATATTATCAATATTATTTTATTTGCGTTCTAACGCAATTTTAACATTTATTCGTGTATTCCTTCTACCCACCCCAACCATATCCTGATCGTTCTTCTCGGAGTACTCGGACTTCTTTTTCTTCGTCTCACAATGGACCCGGTGACCCCTTTCATCCGAACACATCCGATTACGTCATGCGCCGGAGGTCGTCGGGAAGTAACGGTCTCGCGCGTATTTAGTACGGGCACGACGGAAAGAGGAGTTCACGTTCACGGATGAATCGACCTTTCATTACTTGTACAAAGTACGAGGCGATATGGATTCGTTCCATCGGCCGTGTGAACCAGACTCGATGCTCGACTATCCCGCAGGAAATGTCGAACGGAGCGTAAGCCAGATAAACTCGAGATTTTCGAACGTAACTAACAACCGAAAGCTAGGGAATTTACGCGTTTCGTAGCGCGGTCCACGTGTATTGTGTCGCGTTGGCTCGCGGTCCGAGTGCGATGCCTGTTGCGATAAGTCAGACGGACAAAGAGGGAGAAGGAGGGACAATCGGAGGAAGCTGGCGGTCGCGTACCCGCGTCGAGGGTGAACACGATGCGAGTAGGAAAGCCCGCGGGCAAGCAGCGGCAGTCGTTGCCATATCGAAGTCGTTCTAAAAATCCGAAATGACCGGCGTGCGCAGCTGTGCTCCGCTGCTTTCTCGAGCGGTGACGCGCGCGCGAGCTGCTCGGTGGTACGCACGCGGGCCTGTACCGGGTGTACGCGCTACTGTATAAGGAGCAAATATGATATCAGTAAAACATCTGTATATGGCCGGTGTGGTACACGTAAGTGGTCGTCTTTCGTTGTTCTGCTCGCGGCTCTGGACACGACTTGCGCCTCTATATCTGGAGTAGCGCAAACCCGAGCCCGCGTACCGAGAAGCCGGTAATAGCGGTTGGTTACCACTTTGACAGACTTATTAGCAAATATAAATCGTGGTGTTTGCCGTTACAGCGACTGCTAACCGCGCGGGAGGAGATACGCGCGTTACGTGCAAAGACGACGCCTGGCTCGTTCGTTCGGGGGAAAAAACGGCGCCGGTTTGAAACGGGATGAAAAAGAGAGCAGATCTTAATTAACGCGCGGAACAGGAACGTAGGATGGTGGTGTAACGAGCGCGTTAAATTTGATTTACAGCGCCCTTTTCGACGGTCGTGGCTCGTTCGTTAACCGCGATCGTGTGTCACTCGAATATACCGGTTCCTCGATTTTCGCGGCTGATTCATTTCACGGGTTATTCGGAGATTTCGCGGGAACAGACACCGGGTATCCGTAACGCGTAAAGAATACGTATGTTCCTAATGAGCGATGACGACACGGAACCTGAGGTCGAGCCTGATGCCGACGAGTACGGTTCCAACAGACCGGGATGAATTGAAAACCACCGTGTGTGAGCGGGTACTCCCCCGAGAGATCGATTTCTTGCTTAATAAAAAATACAAAATAAATCCGAAATCACAGAGAATCGAATGTTCTCCCTTGTTCCTCCTTCGAGATCCAACGTCGTCGCGGAACTTCTCAAAAAAAAAAAAA